AATCCTCTCACTCCCACACCTCTGGCCTATATCCAGTTCTTGTATGCATAAATAAATAAATTAAAAAAGAAAAAAAGAATAAGACCAAAAATGAACCAAACATACAAATATTGAAAATCAAACTAGAGAAGCAACAAAATCATCAGTGAATATTAAAGTATGATCTTGATGTAGGGAAGATCTTTCTAGATATGACACAGTCTCATGTACCAAACAATGAGAAAATTAATGTAATTGAATATATAAAAATTAAAATGCCAAAGTTTATTAAACAATTTAAAAGATAAAAACATACATTAGGATGTAAGGAAGGGGCAATGTGCATATTTACTACGGGGCAAATGTCCTTTTTTTTTTTTTGAAGATTTATTTATACAAGAACCAGAGTATAGGCCAGATGCACGGGAGGGTGAGAGAATTCACCAGAGACAGAGCGGGGAACAGAACAGGCAGACTGACCAAATACACTGCTGAGGGGAGCAGCGGGCAGTACAGGAGAGGTCTGCCGCCCCATGTGGGACCCTCGCCGGCCGGCCGGGATTAAACTAGCGCTACAGAGGCTGCGGACAGCTTCACAGCACTGTGCTCAACCACCTGCGCCACCAGGGGAGGCCCAGGACAAATGTTCTTAAAATCCCAAAGTTCTCTTAATAATTAATGAAAAGACAAACTCTCCAAAAGAAAACGTCTGACGTGTGCAGATGATTCATAAACACAAATGGGATATATGCAAGGATATTCAGTATTCCCAAATTAATGAAGAAATTCAAATTAAAGCAAGATACTATTTTATATACCTATCAGGCTGGCAGAGATTTAGTTTGCTTCTCAGTGATGATAGGGCTGTAGAAAATACCGCATTGTTTGCAAAAGTGTGAAGTGATGTAACTAAGTTTTTGAAAAGAAATTTAGCACTATCTGTCAAAACTAAAAATGTTCCTTCCGTTGGAATTGGCAATTCCACTTAGAAAAATTGATGACAGAAGTTACAGAATTTATGACAGGAGTTACAAAATGATAGAAAGATGTGCACAATATGATAGGTAAAAAGGATAGTTTGCTTGCTTGCTTTTACAAGTTGCTATTTTATTTAAGTAGCACTTTAAAGTTAGAAATGTCAAATTTATGTCTGCGTTATAACATTTCTTTCAAATATCCTTCACAGACAACTATCAGCTGTTTATGGAGAGTGGAATCGAGAGGTTGAAAGCAGTAGGAGAGGGGAATTTTTGCTTTACTTTGTATCCTTCTCTACTTGATTTGTTCCTTTATTGGAAAACAGGAAAATATATTTCTTTTATCCTTTAAAGTTAAAAATCAAAAATGGAGATTAAGAGTTTAGGTTTGTACCAAAACTTAATTATATTGCATGGGCCTGTATTCCTCCTAATAGGAAATAGAAATTGAGGAGCCTTTCATTTTATACACAAATAGCATTTATTTATCAGAGCATAACATTGATTTTCTATGCTAAGTGTTAATGACTTGTGGTCTGCCCTCTTGCCAGTTCAGAGGTTTTTGTAAAATATCTACCAGCACTTCCTCTTTTGGAGACTTCCTTATCTTTTTCCTACATAACCTTCTACCTATGCCTGACTTTATTTAAGCAGTAGACTTTATCATAGTCCAAAAGTAATGAATATTTTTGCGTTAGATCTTACCAGAATTTGGCTAGGGAGCAGGATTGTTTTCATTACACCCTTGTTCATTAGAAAATGCCCTTTGGGGAGCTGTTGAGACTCAACAAAAACAAAGAAAATAATCCTGTCAAAAAATGGGCAGAAGAGCTAAAAAGAAACTTCTCTGAAGAGGAAATGCAAATGGCCAACAGGCATATGAAAAAATGTTCAACATCACTTCTAATCAGGGAAATGCAAATCAAAACTACCATGAGGTGCCATCTTACACCAGTGAGAATGGCACATATTAAAAAAACTAGCAACAACAAATGTTGGCGAGGGTGTGGAGAAAAAGGAACTCTCCTGCACTGCTGGTGGGAGTGCAGACTGGTCCAACCACTATGGAGAGCTGTGTGGAGATTTCTAGACCTACTAAACATAGAGCTTCCATATGATCCAGCAATTCCACTCTTAGGTATTTACCCAAAGGACACAGAAACATCAATTCCAAAGAACACCTGCACCCCTATGTTTATAGCAGCACTATTTACAATAGCTAAGCTTTGGAAACAGCCCAAATGCCCAAAAATAGATGACTGGATCAAGAAGATGTGGTACATATATACCATGGAATATTACTCAGCATTCAAAAATGATAAACACATGCAATTTGCAGCAACATGGATGGCGCTGGAAGGGATCATGCTCAGCAAAATAAGCCAGAAAGAAAAAGAAAAATACCGGATGGTCTCACTCATAGCAGGAATCTAGAAAACTTAAATAAGGGACCAGGAAAATGAATAAGTATAAGAAAGTGAAAATCAAAATCAACAAAAAACTATGAACCAGAGACACTTTTTGGGGGATGGGATTGGGGTCAGAATGGGGGGCTGCAATTGTATGGGGATTATAAAAATAAAATTTATTATTTAAAATAAATAAATAAATAAAATTAAAAAAAAAAAAAGATGTGGTACATAAACACCATGGAATATTACTCAGCGTTCAAAAAAGATAAACACATGCATTTTGCAGCAACATGGATGGCACTGGAAGGGATCATGCTCAGCGAAATAAGCCAGAAAGAAAAAGAAAAATACCAGATGGTCTCACTCATATCTGGACTCTAGAAAACTTAAATAAGGGACCAGGAAAATGAATAACTATAAGAAAGAAAATATCAAAATTGACAAACAACTATGAACCAGAGACACTCTATGGGGGGTGGGGGGGCGGGGAAAGGAGGGATTGGGGTCAAAATAAGGGGGTTGTAATTGTATGGGGAATATATAAAATGAAATTTAAATTAAAAAAAAAAAGAAAATGCCCTTTGGGGCCTCCCTGGTGGCACAAGGGGTTAAGACGCAACTTGCATGAGTTCGATCCCCAGCCAGGGAGCAACTCACATGGCGCAGTAGACCCCTCCTTACCTGCCTGCTGCTCCCCTCAGCAGTGTATTTCAGTCAGTCTGCCTGTTCTGTTCCCCACTCTGTCTCTGGTGAATCCTCTCACCGCCCGCACCTTGGCCTGCACCCCGTTCTTGTATGCATAAATAAATCTTTAAAAAAAAGAAAATGCCCTTTGCCCTTATGTTCTTCTCTCCCCTGTTTTGATCCCTTTTCCTCCCCCTCCCTTGCAGAATGTCTCTGATTTATAGTTGCCTGCTAATTTTGTTGTTTTTGTCATTATTGTTAGTTTGCTTTTTTTTTTTTTTTTTTTTGCCCTGATACCTTACAAGGGACTATGGTGATGGTTCACAGGTGAATTGGTAGTGGGAATTTTGTGGGGAATACACAATGATGTAAAGATATAAATAAAAAACAATGAATTTAAAAAAAATAAAAAAGAAAGAAAATGCCATTTGCCACCTGTCAGAAGTGCCACTCCAAGAATTAGAATCAGAATCAGACCCACATCCTTGCAATTGCCCTTTAAACTTTAATCAAAGCCCTTTTGTCTGTAGTCCCCTGACATTACAGTTCTTCAGTCTTAAGTTTAACAGAAATTGGGGTTTCTTTAGCTAAAAGACTTTTTGTAAGGCTATTTCATGTTGTATGTTCCTTCCAAGTTCATTCTAACAACGATCTCCCTTCTTTATTCTGATAAACACATGGGCGCTTTCAAACAATGGTCTTACCAGGAAAAGACTTTCCGTATTTCATATGTTGAAACAGCAATTGACCATCCTCTCTAAAAGTTCTCAGAAAAATTCAGATATTTCCTCCAGCACCAGCCATACTAGCCATACAGAGGTGAGTTAGTTTTCTGCATTGAGTTGGTTAGATCCTTAGTTGGTTAGATCCTTCCTGGTAAGTATTCTGTGATTGGAAAGCAGCATCAACTAGAAGCAAGTTACACTTTTACTCTGGTTAAATTGTTTTGTTAAGCACCTTGTCTGACTCCTAATAGAGGAAAATGATTATCTGTGGTACATTCATCTGCAGTATATTGTATTATTTAGGTTTTCCCAACATATCTCCAAAAGTTACCTTTCTCATAAGCTAACTCCTAACATGCCACTAATAGAATCTTTACACTTTCAGTCCTTCTTAAGAAAAACTTCCTTCTGAGTTAGTTGTGATCATCTGGCAAAGGTGAAGAACAGAAACTTTATTTAATTTAAAGCCTAAGGTCAGTTGTATTTTTAGATTTTTCTTCAGCTTTATCTCTGCTTCACTATCTAGTTTCTATAGCAACTGAGATAGAAGCAGCTAGGTCAGAAAAGGGAAATCTTTAGATGTAGCAAAATTTAGTTTTTTTAACATAAAGATCCCTCTCTATGCAACACCTTCATAACTTTTGTGGACTGTTTCAGGAATTCTATATTTTTTTCTTAAAGAGTCCAAACATTCATGTCTTCTTCACAGAGCCCCATTCTACCCAAAAGATTGCTGCCTCTCTGTTCAGCTATTTAATTAGTCAACTTAATTAGTCAAATCAAGACACTAAGAGAGGGAACTGTTCTTTGGAGAAATTGTAGAGACCAGTAGAATTATTTCTGTTATGGAAAGTCTGAAATGTCTCTGTAAATTATGTTTTGAATTCTATCTTTTCTTTATCTGGGATTGTTCAGGGATGTAGTATGTTTGCATTTGTGTGTGTGTCCTATTCAAATATAATTTAAAAAATCCAGAATATTACTTTTGACTAAATTCTTAGTTTATCTGGGTCAGGTGTAGATGCCAGACCTTCTGTGTCATTTTAGGTAGATGTTGGAGAAGTACTGTCACTCACTGAAAAGGACAACATCAAAGATATGGTTCGAGGACTTAATGTTACATCTTCAGAAATGTGTGTAGCACTTTAAATGAAAGCAAAGTCCCATTTTTAAAAATTCAGGCTGTTGAAATGGGAGGAAGTTAATGCTTTTTTATCTTATAGGAACTACCTTCTGTTGAAGAACTCACAATTATTTTGCCTGAAGATATTGAATTGAAACCTCTTGGGATGGTTTCGAGTATTATTGAGCAATTAGGTATGTAAATAATTGTATTAATAAAAATTATATCTAAGCATGTATTAATAATTTAATCAGACTTTACTATGACTAGTGAATTTTTTGTGAAATAGGTAAAAAAATTTCATTTTAAAATCAGATAAATTCAGTTTTCATGTACTTAGCAATATGTAAATATATTGACTCTAGAAACTTAAAGTCAGCTTTTACTGAAATATTTTTCTATAATTTTCTTTGTTTACTGTTGTTAAATTAGTACAAATTTAGTGACTTAACTACAGCACAAATTTATTATTTTACATTTTTTGTGGGCCAGAGGTAACATGGGCCTGAGCTAAAATCAGTGGGTCCATCAGAATTGTTTATTTCTGACAGCTCTAAAGAAGGATCCATTTCCTTCCCCCTCAGTTTCTAGTGGTTACCTGCATCTCTTGGCCTACGGCCCCTTCCTTCATCCTTAACCAATAATGTTGCCTCTTTCTGACCCTCTTTCCACCATTCCCTCTCTCTCTGACCACAGCTTTTAAGGTTCTCTGTTTTTAAGAATTCTTAGATTGGGCCTACAAGATAATATCCATCTCATGATCCTTAACTTTAACGGTATTTGCAAAGTCTTTATTTTTTATTTATTTACTTATTTTAATGTAAGGTAATATATTCACAAGCTCAGGGGTTAGGGTGTGTGTCTGTCTTTTGGGGGTTATTTTACCTACCACCTTTGGTTTTCTCTTATAAACATGTAAATTAGAAAGTTCTAATATTTAATGCTAACATTAATGCCATGACATGTAGCTATTGGACTATATGAGATCTAGATATTACAGCTAAAAGAAATCTGGTCATGTGGGTGATATTTTAACATGCAATTTGACTTTGGGAGAGGGGGGGTTAGAGAGAGCAGAGGTGATTGAGAATGGAGTCTGTTAATGCACACTGTCATTATCAATCCTTGCTTACCATCTTTATTTCAGAAGCAGATCTCGCTCAAAAAATGTTGACTCATAATCTGTACATGTTTAGAACTTAGAAGTACTTAATTGTTGAAATTAAATATTATACAATAGAAATTTTTTCATGAAGTTTTATAATCTGAACTAATACATACCATTCCAAAGTGGATATGGCATTATCTGTGTAATGTAATTGAGTGCTCTTACTTGCTGCTGTAATTTTCTAAGAACTTAACATGTTTAGTTTTTTTTCTCTTTGCTATTGGTAGATTGGTTGTGTAACATTTGTGGCACTTACAAGACTTGTAGATTATGCTAGACCAGTGGGATAATGCTTTTGCTTTTTGAGAAGAGAAGTGTTAAAAATTACTGTGAGCTCTGTCATTCTTCATCTGTTCAAAGGAAGATACTTTTGTGAGGTCTAACTTTTTCCTTTAATAGTAAGTATGTACCAGTACTTTGTGGAAAAGAATTTCTAGATTGAGAAAGACTAATTTCTTGTAAAACAGGAGTCTTGTGATTAAAAGTGATTTTTCTTTTTGGGTAAAAATTGAGAAAATGTTTGCAGCTTCAATTTGACTCTTTAATAGGTGACTCAATATCTTTGAGGTTTTATTACTTCAAATTATTTCTTAGAATTTTAACTTTTTGTATTAAAAAGTGTCGTTCTCTGTGATACTTGGAAATAAATACTTTGTTTATCCAACAGGAATAGTTACTGAGGCATATTATCCACTTTAAATTTTATTTTAAACTATGTTGGAATTAAGGGCTAATTTTCCATTTAAAAGCTCCATTATCTTCTGATTAAATCTTGAAATAATCTATTTTGTTTTATTTTCCAGTAATAATTGAATCTATGACTAACCTACCTCCAGTTAATGAGGAGACTGTAGTTTTTAAAAGTGATCGACAGGCAGCAGGAAAGGTTTGTAAAAAAAATTTAAATCTTACAGATTATTCTGTTTCTTCATTGATTGGTTTTTCTGATATTTCCTGTCTGTCCTAGTAAGAGTTTATTAATTTTAGAAGTTGAGTAATCTGTTTTAGTACATTCTTGATTTTCTTCAGAATTTTGTTTCTGTCTGTAAATTGATTTAATATTGCTTACAACTCTCTGCTGATTGAGACATTAAAAACACAGTTTAAGAATTTTTCCTAATATTTTTCAGGTGCTTTGGGAGGCAGTAAATATACGAATTGGATAAGACAAAGTCCCCTACCCTCTATGTACTCAGAGTTGAGGACAAGAGACTTTCCATAGTATAGTATTCTTTTTTTTTTTTTAAAGATTTATTTATTCATACAAGAACTGGGGTACAGGCCAGAGGTGTGGGGGTTGAGAGGATTCACCAGAGACAGAGTAGGGAGCAGAACAGGCAGACTGAGTGAAATGCACTGCTGAGGGGAGCAGTGAGTGAGACAGGAGAGGTCTGCTGTGCTATGTGGGTTGCTCCCTGGCAGGGGATCGAACTCGTGCTGCAGTGGCTGCTGATAGCTTCATAGGTTGCATTTTAACCCCTTGTGTTACCAGGGAGGCCCTAGTATAGTATTCTTAACCTCTTGGTTTGTGAGTCCCTTGTGTAGTGACCCAAAACTTTTTACGCTAACTTCCTCAGGTGGAAGCTGAGAGTGAGTGGAATCTTTTTCAAGTTCAAAAAGATTTCAGCAGTAGTTGTAAAGTGTCACTGTGGGCATTCTGAGAAACTGTGAATACTTTCAGCTCACCATATGGTTCAGTCCTTTGTAGCCATCTTACTAATGTTCATCCTTTTTTTTTTTTAATATATATATTTTATTTTATATATATTTTTACTGTTCATCCTTAATATGGAAGACCATACATTTTCCCCAGCAAATATACAATGCTGATTAGTCAGCCAAGCATATAGAACCTTCTAAGATTGAGACTATATATCAAGTGGTGTTTCCTTTCTGGCAATAGAAACAAGATTTTATTCATGTCAGTATTCCCCACTGTCTGTAGTATGGTCGTTTGTAAATTTTATGTCTAAGTAAATGTGTATTGATTTGAAAACAAAGAAGAAACTGCCTGCTATCTTTGGAGAAGCTGCTTTCTGGGGCTTAGTTTTCCCTGGATAACAGTAGTTGGCTTTGTTGTTACTCTAGTACATATAATTAGTTATGTTTAATCAAAACAAAACATATATTTCAAACTATCTTATTAGGTTGACTCTCCTGTCTTCCCTTTTTCTTTGCCTTCCCTACTATTCCATTCCAATACCAATTAAAAAGGCATCCATTTTTGACAGGGTCCTGCCACCTTGCACTACCGACACAGTCTTTTAGGGTGACAGGCAAAGAGAAATGAGGCAGTTGGGATTGCCAAACAGTTAGCAGCAGAATTAATTGGCTTGTGGAACTAATATTTTTCAGCAATTCTAGAAAGGGGAGAAAGACTTTCTAACACTGAAGGATGGTGATGGTGCGGTTGTCACTTCCTTTCACATAGCTAGACCTGGTACTTCTAAGTGTCGGTGCTGCTGTTGTCTTTAAAAAGGTTAGAGATGTGCTCAGGGTTTAACCTTAGAGAAGGTTGAGAGAGAAAAGGGATGAGAAATGAGTAGATCACTGCTGCTGTGAGCAGCTCTCCATGCACATTGGATACTTAGGAGAAACCAGTATTTTGCCCTTGTGAAAAAGCAAAACATTTCTCGGTGTCCTCAACAAAGTAGTAGAAGAGCGTAGGGGAGTAGAGGCACAGGAAACATATTCCTTGATTTTCTGACTATGAATTGAAACTGATTATTTTCAAGATTCCTTTTATTTTTGATTGTCGTGACAGTTGTCTTTTAGTAGCTAACTTAGACCATTTTAATTTCAAAATACCCAATATGTTGTCAATTAAAAGCCTCTAAATTCACATTTCTCATGTTCTCCAATACGTTTGAATTTTCGGTTCTGTAAATGACTAATAATATTCAGTTTTGCTGTCATATGACTTTGAGAGGATTCAAATAAAAATGTAACATTTACGCCTCCAATTTTAGCTATGTGACTTAGTCTAGAGGGATAAATTACATCTATTTTTAAATTTTACATAGAAAGCTTTATAAATTCGAAAAGTGACAAGGCTTTCAAAAATATTTGATTATAAATGTAAGGACCTTGAAATAATTCCTGCAACTAATGGTGGAAGTAGGGAAGGTTTGAGAGTATCAGCTAAACCAGTGACCAGAAAATGATATTCAATCTCCTTTTAGATCATTAGCATAATTTATCTAGACACTAAATTAGTTCAACCTTCATTTCCAAACCTTTATACACTGTTTCTTTATCCCCTGCTCTTGAGTAGTAACAATAATCATCAACCACAGTGATAAGTATTTGTGTATCTTTTAAAATTCACTAAAACTTCATGTGGAAGTGAAATTATTGCCATTTAGCTAAAACCACAAAGCTTTTCCTCCCTCACTGACTAAAGGACAAGCTCAGAGTTGCATTTGTACTTTTTGCTTTTTGATCCTAATATTCTTTTCTCTTGAGAAGTGATGAATAAAATGCCATAATATTTAGTTCTGTAATAGCAGGGAATTAAAATATCTTTGTCAACTTTGCTACTTATTTTCCCTGTATTCTGTGAATTTGTTGGTTACTTGTTTTGAGTCTTTGTTAGAGCAGATTTTATTTTTGTTGTTAGCATTTGTTTTACTTTTTACTAGACCAAAACAGTGAGTCTGATTCCTTATTAAACATCACTGAGTATGAATTTTTTTTTTAAGATTTATTTAGTTATGCATACAAGAGCTGGGGTACAGGCCAGAGATGCGGGGGTAAGGGGATTCACCAGAGACAGAGTGGGGAACAGTACAGGCAACTGACTGAAATACACTGCTGAGGGAAGCAGTGGGTGAGACAGAGAGGTCTGCCTCTCCATATGGGTTGCTCTCTGGCCGGCTGGGGATTGAATTCTTGCTGCAGATGCTGTGGATTGCTTCATAGTGTGATGCTTAACCCCTTCCGCCACCAGGGAGGCCCATTATGAATTTTTACCGATCATTTCATAAAGAAATAATTTATGGTAAAGTCTTGGTTGGTCGGATGTCACAGTTTTCTCAGTCTCTTGATTCTGTTGAGAGTGGTTCTTCTCTTTTTTTTTTTTTTTTTCCTAAAGATTTATTTATTTTTATACAAGAATTGGGGTACAGGCCAGAGATGCGGGGGGTGAGAGGATTCACCAGAGAGAATGGGAAACAGAACAGGCAGACTGACTGTATACACTGCTGAGGGGAGTGGTGGGCGAGACAGGAGAGGTCTGTCCCACCATGTGGGTTTCTTCCTGGCTGGCTGGGAATCGAACTCATGCTGCAGTGGCTGCGGATTGCTTCATAGGTTGCGTCTTAACCCCTGCGCCACCAGGGAGGCCCAGTGGTTCTTCTCTTGTCAATAACCTGTGATATAGAATACACACAGTGATTGAAGCAATCATTTGTTTAACCAGTGAATTAGAGTACTCTCTTTTCTTCATCTTTATTAATAAGAAGTCAAAATAGTGTAAAGCGACCATAAGAGACAATTCTGGATGACCTTGAAGGTTTAGTTACTCATTTTAGAGTAACTGGCTTACAAATATTATGGTCCTAAGAATAATCAACTAAATATGCTCTGCTTTTGTCTAAGAATCACGTTACATTTTCGTTCTTTGCATAAACCTAAAGCTGTTCATCATTTCTCTAGAGAGATCATGTTTCACAGTTAGAAAATGAAATCATGCTATCGAGGAATCAAGTCCCTAGGAAACAGCTTTCTATGCCAGGTCACATACAGTGATTATTTTACCACGTAGAAATGGAGCCATAGGACACTTTTTTACGAGCTGTTTATTATCCCTGTCCAAACTTAATCAGATTTGTCTGTATTTATCAAGGGGCTTAAACAAATTGATAGTTGTTAAGACTGTTTAAAAAGTAGAAGTAAGACAGTATATTTCTCTAATGTATGTGAGAGTGGTGCTGGGGTAGATCCGTTTATCCTATGCAGTTCTGGTTGCAAGAGGTCTACTGTTTTTATTTAAACCTTTCAGAGCAAATTTCTTGCTACTTTTTTATACTGTTTGCTTTTAAAATTAAAAAAATAGCTTTAGACTTTTTGAGGCTATTAGTGTTACTTCAGAATACATGAGCACTTTAATTGCCTTGAATGTTTTAAGAGTAATAAAGCCTTGAGAAATGGTGGTGAGCTGTTTTATAACTTAATAATAAAAAAATGGTATACTGAAGAGCATAAAATGAGAGAGCATTTACTGTCAAAAATAAACAACTGTGAGGATATAATAAACAGGCATTTTCAGTGTTGTGTTAGTTATCATTAGTCCAGATTAATAATAAAAAATAAATTTCTGATTTAGTAATTTAAATTTCACCAAGAGGTTTAGTAGTAATCTTAGTTTTGGCTCTAATAATTTCATCTCTTATAAATCAGTTTTCAGAAAATCTAAAGTATAAAAATTTACATATAAATATACTTCTCCAGCATCATTATTATTGAAATACATTGAAAGCAGCCTAAATTTCCTATAAGACTAATTTAAGTAAAATGTGTTAGATTTATAAAAGAGTATTATATGGCCACTGAAATTATACCTGTGAAGAGTATTTATAACCTGGGAAAAGCTTAATGCAACCTTAGGCTTTAAAAGGGTGTGGTTACCTTAGTTCTACAATGAGGCTACTGGAGACTGGGGGTGGGGAACAGAGTGTGGGGGGTGAGCAGAGTGATTTGTGGTGGAGGCCTCTGGGTGCCCTAGTTGTGTGTGTGTGGTGTCATTCCATACATCTGAAGGGTGTGATCTTATACCTCTAAATTATATGCAATGTTGTAAACCATTGTTTCTTCAATAAATGAAAGGATCCAATATACAAAATTACAGTATAATCTCAAATGAAAAATTTATTAACAGGAAAAATCTATATTAGTGTTGATCTAATTTTTATAAGATACATATACTATCAGAAACATCATTAAACATTCAACTATTTATTTTGAGAAGAGTTTGAAAATGAAAGACTTACTTTTATTCAGAAAACGTTTTTAGAAATTATGTATGTACTGAAACTAGTTCCTTTACTTTAAAGACTGTATGGCATCTTTGGTTTTCGAGAAATAATAACAGAGTTAAACTCTGCTACTTCTTCAATTGGAAAAGTTGTGGCTTTAATTTTATGACAATGTTAACCACTGAAAATAAATAAAAGAAGTGATTGATTAGATCATGGCAACAGAAGTTAGTTTTATGTCATAAGATTCCAAACAACATACAACATTTTATTTCTCAAAAGTTACCAATTTTGATTGTTTCTTTTTATTGAATGACTTAAATGTCAGTAATAAAACCAAAAATTTGTAATTTGCATCTATTGATAGTTAGTACCACCAAAGCAGTTTGAATTTAACAAGTAGCAAACTTGTTACTTATTTTAAACTCATTAAGATGAAATCTAGAATAAGTTCAAACACTTTGAATCTATATGCAAAATTTTATTTTTTATTTATTTATTTTTTTTTTAATAGAGGCATGTTTTATTTATTTATTTATTTTATTTGTTTGTTTGCTCTGCTTATACATGCACTGGGTACAGTCAGAAGCGCGGGAGGGTGAGAGAATTCACCAGAGCCAGAGCGGGGAGCAGAGCAGGCAGAAGGACCGAAGTACACTGCTGAGGGGAGCAGCGGGTGGCTGGAGAGGTCTGCGCACCATGTGGGACCCTCCTCCGGTGGCCGGGGAGCAGCCGGGGATCGAACCGGCGCCGCAGAGGCCGCGGGCAGCTTCGCAACCCAGCGCTCAACCGCTGCGCCACCGGGGAGGCCCAAAATTTTATTTTGTTGATCTAACTTTGATAAAATCACCTTAAGCAATTATAAGTGGGTACTTTTAAAGTATCACTAATTTTTCAAGTTGTTCTTTCAAATGTTTAAAAGAGTTTTTTCCTTCTATTATCTAGATATTTGAGATATTTGGACCTGTTGCACATCCATTTTATGTGTTACGGTTTAATTCTTCAGAGCACATTGAAAGTAAAGGTATTAAAATAAAAGACACTATGTTCTTTGCGCCATCAATGAAGGACTTTACCCAATATATATTCACAGAAAAACTTAAGTAAGTACTTTATTTACTTGTTAGTTGTTCTCTAATGTTTTGGAAATAATTATCTGTGATCATTGTTTCTTAAAGTTAAATGGTACCTGTCTTCACAGAGTACATTTATAGAGATAAAGATAGAAATCATGTACATTTTTTTCAAAACAACATGATCCAGTAATAAACAGCACATTTTGGGCCATATAAGCTTTCTGAATTTTAATTCATTGTTTTTTTCCATTGTATAATTTCTTTCATATATATGCTACTTCCAGTATTACTGGCATTTGAGAGAATTTTTCCGTTTTAAATTTTCTTTGATTATATTCATAGGCTTACTATTTAATAAAACTGTAATTCTCAAGAAAATGAATAAATTTCAGCCTTCTTAAGAATAATAAATGTATAGGCAAAACAACTAAAATGTGTCCCTGAAGAGTTGTGTATCAAGCCATGGTAAAATTAGGTTGACTTAGCCAATAAGCCAGCATTTTCCATTTTGTGTGTAAACATGCTAAATTACACTTACGGTGCTGTGGCTTATGGTGCAGAAATACTACCTGCACACTTATGCTTCCATTGGTTAACTGTGTTTTCTATATGTTAATTGGAATCAATGGCATATGATTCCAATGAATCAATGGCCTATGAGTTCAAGTGGAATAAATCTTTCCATAAAAATAACTAAAATGCTTTGGAAAGAAGTAGTGAATATGAACCCCTAAAAATATTGTCAGATTAAGAGTAGAAAACACTCCTATTTTAGGTGATTGACTCACAAATGCGTGACAGAATATTAACATTTCCTTGTTTTTTTTTAATTTTTCCTAGGGATAGGGGATCAGATGCTTCATGGAAGAATGATCAGGAACCACCGCCAGATGTAAGTGTATCTTTTTACACAAAATTTTAGAAAGCAGGGCAGAACTTAACTTTATAAATTTATCATTCTTTGCTTTTAGGAGGTCCTTAATGCTGCTTGGTGTTCATATTATTCTTCGAGCCAATCACTCTCACATTCTCTGAGATGACTGTTTTATGCCTTTTAGTGTGTATGTTCTAATAAAACTTTATTTAAAAAAATAGGAATTTGGCTGAAAACCAGCCTGTAGTTTCCAACTGCTTTTTAGAGTTTTTGATCATTCCAGTTTTAGAAAAAGTCACATTTTACTAATCACCACCATCATTTTCCGTTGTAATTTCCTGTTTTTTAATCAATTTTGTTGATAAAGTAGTAAAGCAGAATTGTCAGTTTAAAAAATTTTATTTTTCAATTTAGTTAATTTTCCTTGTAGGACATGAAGATATTCGTTAATGGGACTTAATAACTGCCTTTCTTAAAAATTATTCCATATAAATTAATGGTAATGGTGTTCCCACACCCAAAAATTAACTTACCAAATTCTACTAAATAGGAACATTCTACTTTGAGATAGTGGGGGAAACTCATTTGGAATTTGTGGGGTTTAAACTTTAAAAAAAATCATCTGTGAAAATAGGAAATGTTGGGGCTTGCTATTTAGAGGGAATACCTTTATGTCTGTTTCTAACATGAACATTTAATTGTAGTTGAGCTCATGAAAAATGTGAAGTCTCTGATTTTAGGCAAATACAGTATAATGTTGCCAAAGTGGTCTCTTTAAAATGTGGACTTTAGAGTAACTAAACCAAGAGTAGAAGAAGGACAAGCTTAAAAACTAACCCTTGGAAACCAAAACAAACTAACCCTTGAAAGCTTGAAGCATCTGGAGTGGGGAGGATAGGAAAAGGGTAAGAACAAAGAAGGAAGGAAGCACAGTGGCTTATGTGTGGTTTGGTGGTGGATGCACTACTGTGGCAATCCCTGATAGGAGTATCCAAATGCTGCCTCCATTAAAAACAAATTTTTTAGGGCCTCCCCGGTGGCGCAGCAGTTGAGCGCTGGGTTGCGAAGCTGCCTGCAGCCTCTGCAGTGCCTGTTTGATCCCCGGCCACCGGGTGAGGGTCCCACATGGTGTGCAGACCTCTCCTGCCACCTGCTGCTCCCCTCAGCAGTGTACTTCGTCAGTCTGCCTGCTCTGCTCTCCGCTCTGACTCTGGTGAATTCTCTCACCCTCCCGCTCTTCTGACTGTACCCAGTGCTTGTATAAATAAATAAATCTTTAAAAAAAAAAAACAAAACAATTTTTTTAAAATGTTGAAAAGTTAAAAAATAAACTATTGCCTCTATACCCCAACCTGTTCTTTAATTGATATTGTTATTTAAAATAGCACAATAAAATAGCACAATAAAGTTCTTTAAACTTCTGTAATTCTATTGTCTCTGAATTCTTACTCTGTAAGAAACTTTCACTTTGTTTTATAGAACCATTTTCTATTCTCAATATAGAGTGTCTCCCTGCACTCATTTTCTGAAAATTTTCTTTGGCTTATTTTCATTGCTAAGTCATCATTAAAGATTTGTCTTAGGTTACTCTGTACAAGAAGTCTTCCTTACTCTTTTTTTAGCTCCATATTCCCACAGTACTAAAATTCATTGATATATTTATCTACCCTTTTTTTTTTAAATATAGTTTCACTTAAGAATGTTCTTTAAGAAAGATTTTATTTTAATTTTTTGTGTAGAAGAATTGGGGTGTAGGCCAGAGGTGGGGGTTGAAAGAATTCACCAGAGACAGAGTGGGGAGCAGAACAGGCGGATCTACTGACATACACTACTGAGGGGAGCAGCGGGAGAAACAAGAAAGGTCTGCTGCACCATGTGGATTAGCTCCCTGGCCAGGGATGGAACTCAGGCTGTTGTGGTGGTAGCACTGAGACTTAACCCCTAAGCTACCAGCGATGCTCCTATTTATCTACTTTTTCATTTGAATAAACAGTTTCAGGAAAAGGAATGTCTTCCCTCTGATCTCATCATTTTCTACTGTCTGTCAGATTCCAGATTTAACATGAGCTTGCACAACTTAGCTCATAAAATCAGTAATAAAATAACACATACTTGAAGGTGCTAAATTTAATTGATGTTTTTGAATTTGATTATAGATTCTGAGGTAAATGGACATATAGTACATGAAACATTTGATCTAGAATATATTTCAGTAAGATCATACTAAGAACTCCATTAAAGACTTTCATATATATTTTCTTTCTTTTAAATATGCATACATACAAAACCAGTGACCTGGTTTTTGCATATTTTTTATTGAGTGTAATAATGTTTTCTGATATTATAATAATTCATAATTACTGTGAAATCATTTAAGTCAATATATAATCGCTTATAACCTTGTTTTTTCGGTGGGTTGTACACTAAACCCCAATTCTTGGTTAAATTTGAATCTTCCCTCTTGTAATTTAAAGGATTTCCTCTCATAAGTTGGGTCATGCATTTTTCTGCTTATCAAAGACTTTTTCTTTTTTCCACCTTTATTTTGTCTTTATTATTTACTTGTAGCCCTTAACAATAGCCAACATCTTACTATTTAAAGAACTAACCTGTAAAGAATTTAGCAGTGTCTAGTATATAATGGGCATGTGGAGCCTCCCTGGTGGCTCAAGGGTTAAGCACCGCACTGTGAGGCAATCCGCAGCCTCTGCAGCACAAGTTCAATCCCTGGCCAGCCAGAGAGCTACCCACATGGAGCAGCAGACCTCTCCTGTCTCACTGCTCCCTTCAGCAGTGTATTTCGGTCAGTCTGCCTGTTCAGTTCCCTACTCTGTCTCTAGTGAAGCTTCTCGCCTCCTGCATCTCTGGCCTGTACCCCAGCTCTTGTATGCATAAATAAATAAATCTTTTAATAAAATGAGCATGTGTATATTTTTGAGTGAAAGGTATAAAATTTTATTTAGATCTGATAATTTCTCATTTGATTAGTCCTAATGACCCATTCCCATGGCATCTATCCTTCAGCAGCTGCACTATGATGTATCTTATTTCTAAGCTAGAAGTCTGACTTCTAGTTAGGGACTGACTATATCTGAAGGTTGTTAAGAATTGACCTATGTGAAACTGTCCAGGAATTAAAAAACAAAAATCCTTGGGTAAATTATCTTATTTACTGGCCTATATTAAGAGTCATGAGGCACTTACCAAAAAATGCTTGATTTTTCTGTCGTATCTAATTCACTTATTACTGGATGATGGTTAAGTATCAAAAAGGATAAATTATTTCCAGGATAGTGTTAAATAACAGGCTTATTATCCTCACCTCCAAATAAGTACCGTTGAATTGGAAAATCCTTGAAACACAATTCTCTATTTTTCTCTGCAAGGCCTTAGATTTCAGCGATGATGAAAAGGAAAAAGAAGCCAAACAGAGGAAAAAATCTCAGGTTCAAGGTCGGAAAAAATTCAAATCTGAATTTAATGAACAAGGTGAGTAAATGCAACATAAATTTTTTTTTGATGTTTTCATTTACATCTGCATAAGTTAATCAGTAATAAACTGAGAAAACATCTGGGTTTTCTCTTTACTTTCTGGCATCCAATTAACATCAAAGGCACAAACATTACACAGCACAGGATGTGATAGGAGAGAGTAATAGGAATGAATATTCAGTGGTAGTTTTTCAAGCCTTAAAGAGGTAAAAATGGCTTCTGCGGGTAACTGAGGGAAACTAATCCTTGTCAGAGTAATTTGTGCTTCTCAGCACTTTTGCTGAAACCTATTTGCTTCTGGTTTTACAGTGAAATGATATGGTAGTCAATACCTAAATTAAGGTACTTTTTTTTTTTTTAACATGGATTCCCTTTTATCATTCTTTTCCTGTTCCTTTTCTATAACTAAACTTTTGGTAAGTTCACTTGCAGTTGTAAGAATTAATAACAGATTTGTGTGCTTATTACCAAGTTTTCCAAATTGTGTAACATCTTACAGAGCTATATGGGACATAGGACTGTACCATAACCAGGCTGTTAACATAGTTACACTTAAGATAGACATCTTTTCTATCACAGAAAAAGATCCCTTAAGTTGCCTTTTTATAATCATACCCACTTTCTTCCCTCCAACCACCTCCTTAACTCCTGCCAACCCCTCATCTGTTCTCCATTTCTGTAATATGTTTTATCGTGTCAAGAATGTTTATATAAATAGTCTCAGGTTATGTTAGGATTAGGGCTTCGTGTCACTAAGCAACAATTGTTGGAGACAGTTGTCACTAAGCAACAATTTTTGGAGACTTATCCAGGTTATTATATGTCAAATATAATATATTCATTAATATAATATAAATATAATACATAATTCATTCCAGAGTAGTAATACATGGTGTGACTATGTCATAGGTTGTTGAACCTTTGAAGGAATGTGGATTTTTTTTATATATATATATATTTATATATATATTTTTTTTTACAATGTTTGCTTTCTTTTCTCATCTGGATTTTTAACAGCTTTTCATTATGGAAATAAAGTTGCTTTATATATTTGTGTACAGGTTTCTGTGTTGACAAAAGTTTTTTTATTTCTCTGAGCTAAATATCTAGGAGTACAATTGCTGGATGACATGATGATGCATGTTTAGTTTCAAAAGAAACTGCCATACTTTTTCCAGTGTGGCTCTACCACTTTACATTCCATCACCAAAGTAGGAGTTACTCTTGTTTGTCTGCATTTTTATCAGAGAATAAGTGTTTGTAACCATTCTTTTAAAAAATTTAGCTTTTAGGGCCTCCCCGGTGGCGCAGCGGTTGAGCGCTGGGTTGCGAAGCTGCCCGCAGCCTTTGCGGCGCCAGTTTGATCCCTGGCTGCTCCCTGGCCACTGGAAGAGAGTCCCGCATGGCGCGCAGACCTCTCCTGCTGCCCGCTGCTCCCCTCAGCGGTGTACTTCGGTCCTTCTGCCTGCTCTGCTCCCCGCTCTGGCTCTGGTGAATTCTCTCACCCTCCCGTGCTTCTGACTATATCCAGTGTTTGTATAAATAAATAAATAAATCTTTTTAAAAAAATTAGCTTTTAAAAAATGTATGCTTTTTCCCGTCTTTTGCTGGTTATAACTTCCAGCACTATGTTAAATAAATGTGCTTTGTTCCTGATGATAGGAGAAAAGATTCACTATTAAGTACAATATCCTTCAGGGCCTCCCCTGGTGGCTCAGGCGGTTGAGCGCCGCGCTGTGAAGCTGTCCGCAGCCTCTGCAGTACTGGTTCGATCCTGGCCAATGGGCGAGGGTCCCACATGGCACAACCGACCTCTCCTGTCACACCTGCTGCTCCCCTCAGCAGCGTATTTCATCAGTCTGCCTGTTCTGTTCCCCAGTCTGTCTCTGGTGAATCATCTCACCCTCCTGTGCATCTGGCCTGTACCCCGATTCTTGTATAAATAAATAAATAAATAAATAAATAAATAAATAGTACAATATCAGGTTGAGGAAATTGCCAACTCTTCCTATTTTTTCTGACATTGAAAAATAGCATTAATTAGTATTAAATTTTGACAGTTTTTCTGTTTTGATTGATAAGATATTTTTCTTTATTAGTTTGTTAATAAGGGAAATTGCATTAGTTTTAGAATATTAAACTAGTGTTGCATACTGGAATAAGTGACAGTTGGCCATAGTGTGTAATTCTTTTTATATATTGCTGAATTCTACTCATATTTTGACAAATGATTTTGCATTTATATTCATGAGGGATACTGGTCATAGTTTTCTTTTTCTTTTTTATTTTCTTAAAGATTTATTTTTTATTTATTTATACAAGCACTGGGTACCATCAGAAGCGCAGGAGAGTAAGAGAATTCACCAGAGCCAGAGAGGGGAGCAAAGCAGGCAGACTGAAGTACACTGCTGAGGGGAGCAGCGGGCGGCAGGAGAGGTCTGCGCGCCATGTGGGACCCTCCTCCAGTGTCCAGGGAGCAGCCGGGGATCGAACCAGCGCTGCAGAGGCTGCGGGCAGCTTCGCAACCCAGCGCTCAACCGCTGAGCCACCGGGGAGGCCCAGTTTTCTTTTTAAATATCTGGTTTTGGTGTCATGGTAACACTAACTCCAAAAAATGAATTGGGGAGGTTGTGAAGAAAGAGGAACATGTAGCTGTTGTTGGGAATGTAAATTGGAAACATTTTGGAAGGCAGATTGGATCTTTATTAAAAAAATAAACTAGAAATGTTATACTATTTAGCACTTGCATTTTTGGGTATCTATTAGAATACACAATCTTCAGCTGGAAAAAGAATGTCTTCCACAATATTTATGGTGACTTTATTTACAATAGTCTTTCGGATTTATTTATTTTTTAAAGATTTGTTTTTATTTATGCATACAGAAACTGGGGTGTAGGCCAGAGGAGCAGGGTTGGGGGGTGAGAGGATTCACCAGAGAGAGTGGGGAGCAGAACAGGCAGATCTACTGAAATAAACTGCTAAGGGCAACAGCGGGCGAGACAGGAGAGGTCTGCTGCACCATGTGGCTTAGCTCCCTGGCTGGGGATGGAATTCATGTTGCAGTGGCTGGTAATGATAGTGCTAAGACTTAGCCCCCTGAGCCACCATGGAGGCCTCTTTTTGGATTATTTAAATGTGATAATATTCAGCCTTAAACTTCTGAAACTGTCATAAGAAGGGATTATTGAATTTTTAGCAATGTTTCAGATGTATTAAAATTAGCTTTCATTTTGCTTTTGCGCTTTTTCCCCTCTCAAAGGTGAAGATTTTGCAGAAGTACATCAGAATTGGAATGCTCACGGCTCTGCTTTAGAGCCCGCCAAAGGATTTCGCAACAGAGAATTCACACGAGGATTTTCCTGGGGCAGATACCCTGGACCTTGTCATGGCAGACCCCCACCTCCACAGTTTTATAACCCAGAGCATGTGGTATCTCAGGAGACTTTGGGATTTCCACCTCAGAGACAAGATAATCCCATCATGCCACAGTATCCCTTTCCTCCCCCTCCAGCGTTTGACATGCGTAATTTTTCACTCCCTCCTCCCCCACCACCTCCACCTCCCCCACCTGCACCTTTAAACGTGGGTTGGGCTCCTGCACCTCACATGGTAGCTCATCCGGTATTACCCATGCCATACTCACTCCCCCCACCCCCTCCACCCCCTCCTCCACCCCTGCCTCCACCCGCTTCTTCTGGAGACAGTAATTCTCATTTTGGGCCATACTATTAGGTGAATTAGGTGAATGTATGCATTTCCAGAGAAATGTAGATTTTTAATATTGTGTAAGAAGGACTTTTTTTTTAAAACTAGAATTTACAAAACTAGATTTTTAAAACACTGTAAAATAATAAATGATTCCCTCACTTATAAGTATATATATATTTGTAACCTTAGAGAAAATGTGTCTGTATGAAAACTTCACTTCAAATTCATGGAGGGAAAATTCAAATGTGTAATATTTAAAACTGCATCTGTGCTTTCCCCATCCCTGCCCAGTTAAATAAAGCATACAGGTCAAAAAATAGATCTGAAGGAACTTTCATCACAGATTCAACCTACTAAGCTCATTGATTGACTTGGTATAGTTGAAAATATGATGTTAAAGTCCTATTCAAGTCTTTAAAATAAACTATTTTTGCAAACTTTGGAAATTTGATTATAAAATTCAATTTACCAGTAAATTTAAGTGTCTTAATTTTTTTTAAAGCAAGTAAAGCAAAGAGATGGAAAGCCTTACAATTAGCAAAAACTATGACTATAATTAAAAATTTGTAATTATTAATCATAGTAAGTTTTCAATTATATATGCAGATTTTCATTATTTGGATACTATTTGGCAGACTTTACCATTTCACCACTTACAGGGGTATAGAAATTGTTTACAATGAAGTGTTGTTTATTCACAAAATGTATTTAACTCCTATTAGGAGTTAGTGAGTTAGGAGTTAGTCTATTAGGACATAGTGTCTTCCATGTCTGTTACCCAGATTCCCATATGTGTGGCACCGATTAGGTGCTTAGTGTTTATCAAATGACTGACTGAATTTAGAGTTTTTGATTAAATAACTAGTGAGCATTTTACATCATGATACGTAAATATAAGAAAAGTTCAGAACTTTAGAAATAGAAGCCTTAAGGTGTCATCTAAACTGGTCCTCATTTAATAAATATGGAAGAACCTAAGGATTCCAACAAAGATAAGGCCACTCATTGAGATGACAAGGATATTCTAGTTCTCGATTCTAAGGTCAGCACTTTATACTGAATTGGTGCTTTTCCATCTTTCGTTCTGTGACACCCTCATGTGTTACATTTTTTAAATTATTTCTTCAGTTGTTTTTGCAGCTTCTCTGTGAAGTTATCTTCTTTGATGATCCAGTCGTCTCCTGTTTGAATGACCATAAGTATTAAGTGAGATGATATCTAACAGCCTGAAAAATAACTTTCTGCAAGAATGGGAAAAGTAAGACTTTGCCATCCAGTTATGGAGAATCTACAACCTTTTTTAATCGCTGTGGTGTTTAGGGAGTCTTTTAATCCCTAAGTACTGGTATCTGACAGTAAATATTTAACACAACAGCTGAATGATACCATTTCATCTCTACTTTCAATAAAATTCCTCCCTTAAACACTTCGGTCCTATTTGCCATCCTCCCTTATAGTTTCTAGGTTACCTAGAAATTACCTATAACAAACACATAAGCTTGTTAAAAATGCAGATTCTTGGGCTTTATCCTCAGATGTGAATTCGGTAGCTGAGATGAGACCTAGCCAACTATGACAGATGCAGGTGCTCTTCGTAGGCATTGCTTGTTCAGCCCCAGACCACTGCAATAAAGTGAATATCGCAAGAAAGAGAAGAGTGTCACCAACTTTTCTGTCCCCTAGAGTCTTGAAAAGTTATGTAGTCTTTAAGTGTGCGAGAACATTGTGTCTTCAAAAGCCAATGTATGTATCTTTCTTAAATGTGACACAGACCCTAAGTGAGCATGTGCTCTTAGAAAAATGGCATATTATACTTGCTTGATGCAGGGTTGCTGTAGACCTTCAATTTGTAAGAAATGCAGAATCTGAGGCACAGTAATCAAAATTAAGTGAGATATGCCTGTACCCCCAGGGGATTAACTTCAGGATTTATTCTTGGTCTGTAGCGAGTTCAGGGTAAATATGCACAAGCTTGCTGTCCATCTTCTTTGGACCTTGAGGGAGTTCTGTTGGGTGAGTGGTAATGATATGAGAGTAGATAGAAGAGAGAAATAAAACCATAGCTGTTAAAATGTATCTATAGCTTCTCACTTAGTTGTCAGAGCTGTATTTTGTCTACTACATCTATGTTTGGAGTTTAAGAGGAGGATGCCAATCATCTCTAATTTTGGAAGAGAAATATTTCTATTTTCATCATCTCCACCTTAATCTTATCAAATTTTTTTAAAGATTTATTTATTTATATGTGTACAGGAGCTGGGGTTCAGGCCAGAGATGGGGCGGAGGGTGAGAGGATTCACCAGAGACAGAGTGGGGAACAGAACAGGCAGACTGACTGAGATACACTGCTGAGGGGAGCAGCGGGCAAGTCAGGAGAGGTCTGCTGCGCCTTGTGGGGTGCTCCCTGACTGGCCGGGTGCTGCAAAGGCTGCGGATTGCTTCGTAGTGCGGTGCTTAACCCCTTGTGCCACCAGGGAGGACCTCTTATCAATGCTTTTAAAATTGTGTTGTCCTAGATTTTTAACTGCCACATAGTATGGAGTAAATCCAATGTTGATGTACTCAAATACCTTTATACTAGCCTCTTCCTACAATAATGTAATAACATTCACATGATTGAATGTAGAGAGTATCTTTCCATGTCTACAGTTGTAAATTTGGTGAGGTGATAATTAAAATTACTCCCTAAGCAACCATCTTTGTTTTACTAAGATCAACAACTGTCTCCTCTCCCTTTTATGGAAAAGACAGTGAGGTCCATAGTAATTGGATTATCTGTCCACTGTTAGATATTGAAAGAACTGGATTTGAGATTGTACATTGGAGACCTGGAACAGAACATGCAGTTTCAGGATTCACCAAAAGTCATTTCTTAAAGTCCATGTTGTGAGCTCATGTATAGTTAAATACCAGAATGTATGCATCACTTTGATTAGTAGACCCTAGTTAATTCTTCCATATCTATGTCCATATAATTGGCCTTGGGGATGTGTAAGTAATGCACAGTGACAGGGGCCTGCGTGCAGAAGTCTGTTGGACAGTGAGGAATGTAGAATGCTTTCCCTTCCTCTTTTCTAGCCCACCAATGATTTACTTTCTACCCCCTCCTCGACTCTTATGCTGCTTTTTTTATTTCTTGCTTAGAGCTGGTGGATATTAAGTGCATTAAAAATTTCAGGATATTTGATGAATAAGAAATGAGTAGTGTCTGAGTTCCAGTCTATTGTAATTTTAACCTACTTCATAAATAAGAGTTAGTATTTAAAATCTCCAGGTGCTTAGATCTTAGTGTATTTTTAAGGACAAGGTTTAAGATAACAAAGTATCATTGATACATTTTTTAACAATAATAGGCATTTGCATTTAATTTTATAAATTCACTTTTTTTTAATCTAGTGCAAGGTTTTATTTTGCATTTTATTACACTTCAATCAATTACTCTAAGCCTTTTCTGGGTTGAAATTAGACATCTCAGCTATAAAGTAGCTTCTTATTGGGGACACACTTTGAGGCCTTAAAGCAGTACTAATGAAGTCCTTTTGTTGTGTGATGTCAAACTGAAAAGTTTGCCTGGCTTTGTGAAAGACCCCCCAGAATTGCATACAATTTGATATTCAGCTATGTTTCTCACAGTAGGACTACATAGGCAATTTATTTATTTTTTTAATTGAAGTAACATTGGCTTATAACATTGTGATTAGAGATGTAGGATCTCCCCCTTCATGTAGCGTTACTACTCCACGCCTGACACTGCAATAGCCACAGTTCTCCATAGTCCATTGTGCTTCCTTCCTACTTTCCTCTCCCTCTCACACTGGCAGCCTCAGTTCTGTGGTCAGATTTCTAGGATTTGTCACTGGTTTGGCTTTATTTGTGCCTTTGCTTTATGTGTCTATATCGCATGTATAAGTGATACCGTCTGGTGTTTGTCTTTCTCCTTCTGATTTCTATATTAACATTTCTAAGACAATATAAGTATTTGGTTTCAGTGCCTTCTAATTCTTCTATACAGTTTCCCATTATTGAGTTTTATTGGAGAAAAAAAGCATCCTTACCCCCTCCAGATGACACAAATCAGGGAACTTAAGTGCAGAAAGAGAAATAATCCCTTATGTCTGTTTCTCACCCTTTCCCAGTCTGTTTGGCTAAGGTACCTGAGATAAACTTGAGAAAATTCTATACTTAGCGTGCTGTCTTCACATACTCAGGCTATTTAGAAATAGTCATGTCCTTCTATAATTAAGTGATAGGGAAAACAGTATATTGTTAAATACAGGATTCCTTTTAAAAATGTTAAAAACTAACATTTTTGCAGAGTGACTATGTGTGTTAATATAATACGCATTCATAAAGTCTTCACTCTGACATTTCACATTTGATAGCAACAATAATGAGTTCTGAGGTCTAACTGTTGTATGAGAGAATACTTTTAATAGGCTATAAACTGGACAATTTTTTTAAATTATGAGATTTCATTGTCAGATAATGTTGCCACTACACTATGGTTTAATGCATTCATGGTTGCAAAAGAACATTTGTGTTCTTTTCTGTAGATAAATTGCCAATATTCCAAAAGTTTTCTCTACTTTTTCTGAAACCCAGTCTGATCCTAAATTTATGTAGCAATTATGTTCCAGAAAACCAAGGAAACAGTTACTATAGTGTGCCTGAAATTAAAGTTCAGAAATATCTTCTTAATACCATTCATCAGACCAAAGCACTTGTTTTGAGCTACTAGCAGCAATGAAATTACATCTCATTTTCGACTCTGCACTCTGTACCCAAGTTGTTATCACTGGTGAATGAGACATGTACAATTACTTAGTGTCCTGGAAAGGAGGTACAAATTGGAATTGGTATATCAAAAGGTAAAATAATGAACATAGCCAATGAAGAAAACTAAGTTGTCTTCTGCACAGTCAATAAAAAGGCATATGCTTCATATATGTGTATACCCCCTTATATGTGGGTATGTGAGTGTGCGTGTAGATGCTTGTACAAAAAACCTGATAGTTATGCATGTTTTGGTTGTTTAGTACCCTTTATTTCTACTCATAAGGGTGGGAATAAATATTACATTAGCTTGTTTTGTGGTTAGTTGCATTATACCAAGTCCCCCAAACAACAAACCGACTTTATATGTTAAGAACTTTCTATTGATGGGCCTCCCCTGTGGTTGTGAATCTGCCCGCAGCCTTTGCAGCGCCGGTTCGATCCCCGGCCGCCTGGCGAGGGTCCCACATGGCGTGCAGACCTCCAGCCGCCTGCTGCTCCCCTCAGCAGTGTACTTCGTCTGTCTGCCTATTCTGTTCCCCGCTCTGGCTCTGGTGAATTCTCTCACCCTCCTGCGCTTCTGACTGTACCCAGTGCTTGTATAAATAAATAAATCTTAAAAAGAAAAATCGTCATTTAAAAAAAAAAAAAGAACTTTCTGTTGAGGTTAGATGGGCTAAAAATTGTGATGAGATGTGACCCAAATAATAACACAATAAATGCAAAGGAGTAAACTATTAACATAGATTCACTTTTAAAATGTGATAAGCAAGTGATGGTGGTCTGTAAGTTGAATGGCAGACATGAGTTTCTAACAATCTCGGTCTCAATGGCCACTACAATGTACAAAACCTGTTACTGCAGCTCTTTAAACCTTTCATGGTTCTCTACTCTGCCATCCAGCAGTGGTGGGAAGCATGTTTTCTCTCCCCCATACATCTCACCGCTATTGAAAATATATTTGACTAAGAATCATGCAGTGTGTCATCACAGATATGATTTGGCACTCACAGGCAGAATTATGCAAGCTTAGTAGCTGATTCATTCAAAGCAAATGATTAATTTTCTTTAATGTCAGTTTGGTTTTTGACCAAGTATAATTGCTGATATATTTATTGGCAACAATATAAGTTCAAATGAATTTTGTTTTGCAAAGTTGTGAGCAGAACAATATTTAAGAACAGAAGAAAATAACAGTAGGCATTTAAATAGTTTGAACCATATGCAATTGCCTACAGTTTCAGTTGGTTCAATCCCATATATGGATTTAATAGATGGATAGTTAGATAGAAAGAAAATATTTCCCATATTTGCTTTTCTCATTTTGTAGAACATATCCCTGTACCATTATACTACAGAACGCATTTTGCGGGAAATGCTGTCATAGATGTTAGCAGAAATTCATAGTAAATGTACATTTCTCAGAGATATCTTTAGATTTGCTAAGAAGGCAGATCATGGGGCCTAAAAGAATGTTAAAATATTTTGTATTTGGATAAGAAATGGCTGTTCCTTAGTGTAAGCTTTGTGGCTCTTAGCTGGGTTTGGGTGTTTGTGTGCTTATTTTTTTTTGTTGTTGTTGTTTTTTTGGTTTTCCTGTATTCTAGAACTCACTAAAAATCTGTGAGATGTTCATTTTTCTAGGAGAGTGGGTCCATGTCTTTCATCTTGCTTTTAAAGTACTATCTGAAGAGAGGGAAACAGAGTTTTGGATCAGGTATAGCATAAGTGTCTCTCAAGTCTGATAATGCAGAAATCCTTTAAAAAAATTTGTATGAGCCCTCAAAAACATCCACAGACTACAAAACTGGAAACACTGAGCTAAAGAACTAAAGTTTTGTTTATGAAATAAGAATTTTTGGTTTCTTTGTGCAGTTTTTAACTTGTAAGACCAAATCAATAAATCTCAATTTAGAGAAACATTGGCCCTAAACTATATTAGATTTCAAATGGCTGTATGGGAGGCCTCGCCCGTGACGCAGCAGGTTGAGCGTAGTGCTGTGAAGCTATCTGCAGCCTCTGTAATGCCGGTTCCATCCCTTGAGAAACCCACATGGTGCGCAGGCCTCTCCTGTCTTGCCCGCTGCTCCCCTCAGCACTGTCTTCTGTCCTTCTGCCTGTTCTGTTCCCCTCTCTGTCTCTGGTGAATTCTCTCACCCTCCCATGCCTCTGGCTTATACCCCAGTTCTTGTATAAATAAATAAATCTTAAAAAAAAAAAAAAAAGCTAGATGAATACACATTCAAATGGCTGTATGAGAAAGACTTAAATGAGCATGACCAGCAGTAGAGGAAGTATGTCATTAATGATCTTAGATATCTAGAAAATGTCTAGAATGTATGCTTCTGCCTAGTAAGGAATTTGTAATTTAGACTATAAGCAGGAAATCACTGTTCCACTAAAAGGAAGGGGGCACAGTCTTCAGCTTAACAGATTTGGTTGTGTCACCATTTTTTAGTTCTTGCCAAGCAAAGTGTGATGAACAGTAAAATTTGATTTGAGCAAGTTTCCAAAGTCTGAGGATATCTGCAAATACTGTACTATAAAAATGTTATGCACAAGAACAACAGAAAAGGGAAGGACCCAAATGGAACACAGATGATCCAGAAAAGTTTCTGGAAAGAGAAATAGAAACTAGGAGAGAATGAGACCATTCTTTTAGTCTTAACCATCTGAGGCATCTTTCCATTTCCTCAGGGTAGAGGACATGGGTGATTATCTTAGAGTTGTGTGATTTATTTTTGTTACGGAAAGCAAAACAAAAGCCTCTTACCAAAAAGTGGATTTAATCATACAAGTAAATCCTTTAGTTTTCATAATTTTTTAGCCAAAGAATATTTCTAAACACCAAACTATATATATATGTATGTATATATACGTATATATTCATATACATATATATACATGTATACGTTGACAATGTAGACAAGGTGCAAGCCCTTTTACAAAATGCTTGTTTAAAACGATGCATTTCTGTGAATGCAGCTTGAAATATAAGAATAGGCCACTTTTCAGAGTGTCCTATATAAATTGTCATAATCTTATGTCATTTTACTGTGACTGTATTGAGCTTTTTTGTTAGAGTATAATCTTGAGGACAAGCACAGCTTGACAACAGGGGTTCTTTTCCTAACCCACAAAAGGTATTTAGCTGTCATTGAAACCTTGTTTCTGAGATGCTTCTTGCTGCTTCATAACCTGTGGACTTCTCCTTTATGTTTCTAAAGTATAACATTCCAGATGAATGTCACAGTCATTGGTGGTGATTCTTTTTATTTAAGTGAAAGTACTTGTTGGGGTGTCAAAATCTGTATTGGCACAGATTTCCAGTTAAGTTGTGTCCCAAAAGTGGCTCAGAGAGATAAGTAGAAAGTAGATTCACTTTTTTTTTTTTTTTTTGAAACTCATTTTGAGAGTACTTTATTGACGCAAATATGGAACCCACAACATTTTGGGCAGTAAAGTTAATGATCTTTTTTTCTCAGGATAATAAAATTTACTTTCATACCCTAGATGATATCAAAACGTGACTATCAAATTTTTTTTGCTAAGGATGACAAATCTGCTGGGTCTTCTTTGGGGGTGGGGAATGTTGATCTATATATATAATTCATCATTCAATAAGATTACACCACAGTTCTCTGTCCATTAAGAAACTTTCAAGAGCTAACCTAATAGGTAGCAAAAAATAATATAAGATATATGTATATATGATAAGATTTCCAGGAAATTTAAAACTAAATAAGACAGTATTCCAGGAAATACTTGCTTTCACTTCAAAGTTTTATCTACTTTGTAAAATAACTTCAGAATTGAGAAGCCACCTCGCTAGATATACTATATTTACTTGTAAATATTAGGAAATAATAACACAAATCTGTAAAATCTCTTGGAGAAACTGATAGCGAAGTACCTATCATTTGTTGTTAGTATTTCTTTTGATTAACCACCCTAGACAGCCAATGAACTCTTATTTATTTAATAATATTAGTTTTTGCTTATTAGTCATTCGTTTGTTGCTGGATAGAGAACCGAGAACCGTAGAGTGCAGCAGTAGGAAATAGGCAAACGAGGGCACCAAGTGCTCTCATACAAGAGTACACTTGTGCAGAAAACAGCTTTACCTAGAAGAGTATTGTCAACACTGGTCATTTGGGAAAAATAACAAAAGTAGGAATGTAATAGCCAAAATCACAGCCTGAAATGTAGCCTCCCCTCAAAAAAAATGGATTTTTAAAAGATCCACCTATATAAAGAGTTTCCTAAAAAAAATCCTGGGCTTTATAATATGTGAAAAGGACCACAATTTCTAGTTATTGTAGCAGGGATATTCAAATTCAGATAGCTGGTCAGTTTCTGCTTTTTTGGCTTTTTCTTGTTTAATTGAGATCAATGTTACTTGTGATTTACTGTTCAGGTGTTACCACCCCACATTCACTACCAAAACACCCATAAATCTATTATTCTAAATACAAATTAGATTAGTATTCTAAATACAAATTTGAATAACAAATTAATCTGTTACTCTAAATTCAAATAAATTCCTGGAGGTTGTAGTTTTAATTCCTGGGATCACATATAGAAATACCTGTGTTATAAAGTAGCCAGGATTCATTCACTGTGGGTTTGAAAAATCCATGCTAGAATTTAATAGAAACTAAAAGCTTAACATCTTTAGAAATGCATGGAAACAGATGCACACGTTTGACTGACTGGATTTCCAGAGCAGGAAAAGGGTAAGCAAAATCCAAGCAAATTACTCAAGTTAATATGGTGGGATTCACAAACGTTGCCATGGCTGATGATGGTAACAGCAAATTTGCCAGCTTTATCAGGCATTCTTTCATATAGAATTGTTTCCATGGAAACCGTGTCTGCAACCCACAGGTTTCATGTACTGTATGTTCCAGCGAAATAAATAATGAAAAGCTGTCTTCTATTTTTTGATCTCCAGATCTACATACTTAATAGGCAGGATGCTCCCTTACATATCATTTGCAGTAAAAAAAGACAAATTGAAAGGCATGAAAAAGTAAAGATTCTATGCCTTTATTTTAAAAGCACAACCAATGTAAGAAAATGTATTTTCAATTCAACTCAGAACAAAAGATCAAACACCTATCACTTGCCATTCACACCTTACCCAATACTATTTATAGGCCACTCTCAAACTCATTGAAGATGGCCATGATTGCTAAACATATGCAGGAGTGTGAGGTGATTCTGCGGAATCTCTCTGTGTCAAGTGATGTCAGGTTGTATCTCCCCAAAGAGGCTCTGACTCCTCCCTGCATCTTGCTGAACACGTTGTGGCTTGCTTTTCTGACTCAGTGAGTGAGGGTTATGATATTGCCTCCTTCTTATCACCTGTGTTCTTTCTAAATGTTACTTTATTCACTAACTGCTAGATTTTGAAATACAGTTCTCCCTTAGCATCATCACTACGTTTTTGTAAACTTTAATTTTAAGTGACGTATAACAAAAACAGTTTTGCCACAGGCTAATTGATAAAAGCAATATTTAAGTTTCGAGAGCATATCTCTGGTCTCTAAAACATCCTTAAACTTCTAAATAAAGACCCGAGCACATTG